ACAGACAGTCGGAGCTGAGCCGTTTTCACAACATCCAAGGAGCACATGTGAGGCAGTGGGATTTCAGCAGTGCATCGTGTCTCCCCTTAGTGTCAGCAGACAACTCTCAGAATAGTTCACAAAGATCACTACGCCGGTCTTGAGTTACAGCACCGGAGCTACGCTAATGAGACCAGAAGCTTTTTCTCCTGCTCCATCGTTCCACTGAGATACGAGTTTTTGTTTTTACCACTTACAATTCACACAAATGGCTACATCTGCCAAGATTAATCCGGAAGGTTTTGTAACGTGTTGTCGATGCTCAATATAGGTAAGTCGTACTCGAAAGGCTACATTTTCTGCTCTTTATTATTTAGAATTATTTATATGACAAATTGCTAATTAATTTTTTTTAATGAAAAATAGGCTTTCCGTAGAACACTTCTGAATGTAAAATTACTGAAGTGCAAGATTCCTGAAGCAAAACCCTGAGGAAGTAGGATGCAGGTGAATGACCAATCCCTAGTTCAAATGTACCAATGTAACTATCAACTTAAATACCTCTTAATCTACAAAAATGAAAACTATGCCTAGTATTTTGTCATAATTATGCATGCAGGTCTCTCAAACTTCAGAACTGGACACTAATTGCAAACAGAACGTCTCACAACGACTTCAGGAAGCAGCAGCTCCAATATAAGTGTTTAACACCTTTACTCTGTGGGTCCATCAGATATTAATGGTAGAGGACACTGCAATTTGTCTCCTTGATGAGCTGCAACAGGTTTTCGAAGAATGTCCCGCTGCCTTTAACAGGGATAGAGGGTGACCTTGTAGACTGCCGTTGGTCCGGTATATCATAAAAATGGCTGAATTTCCTCTTTTCAAAGTACTAGCTGACTATTAGAACGTAGAAGTCTGCAGTACACATCAGTTTTGTTTAATCGTTGTCCTGATACGTCTGTTAGAAGAACCACTAAAATCCCATCTACGACGAAGTCACATTATTCAAGCAACTATATTAAGTTACCAAAATATACACAGTAGGCATGTGACTGCATTAGCAGGGCTCAAGACTGCAACTAAAATAACCGCAGTGCTAAGAAATATTTCAGCCAACAGAATGTTTTCATTATGATTGCCAGCAGGATAGCAATTAAAATAGCTTGTATCTACAAAAACCTAAAGAAAGGGATGTGCAATCCAGATCCAGAGATAAAGTAAGTGAACTGATGTGGGACCCATTATTTGAAGTATTTTGGGCACAGAGAAGAGCTCTTATGATATTAATGTTTTAAGCTGGTGTGAATGAACAAGGTGGAAATACTGTATGCCAGAGGAACTTGCAGCTAACATGCTGAAGATCAACACTGTGTTTCAGTGATAAATGTGCTTCAGAATTTGAATGATGTATATAGTTAATTTTGTTCTCAGTTTGTGAATTGTACAGACTGATTTTGAAGTTGAACAATAATTAATATTAAGCAACAGTTAATGCTCAATTAATAGCTAAGTGAAAATTATATGCCAAAACAGTTTTTGGGGGTAGGTATCAAAATATTCATATTATTTTGCTACTTGGTTCATGAAATACCCCATCTTCGACTGAAAAAGCAGTAATTCTTCAAGGATTTCGGGTAAATGATATTAAATGGGTATTTGTCAATGTACTGTGCAATACCGACTTTTGTCACTAGAGGCCGCCACATCACAATCTTCTTCAACCACGTGCTGCAATCGAACCTACTTCTACGAGAGACTGAAGTGTACATCTCGGTACATAGCAACAGCTGGCACTGTGTAAAATAGTTGGGCTACGAAGAGGCAGCTTTTCCCCTTTCCCCTTTTGTGATACTGGCTCCCAAGAAACCCCTGTAAGTTTATAAAACAATGGCAGCACAGTATTAACAGGTAGTGGTGGCTTAATGGTTTGGGAAGCGCACTCGTGGTTGCAGGTTTGAATCCCTGATCAGCAGGGCGCCACTGAGGTACCCTGAGCAAGGTACTGCCCCCAAGCACTGCTCCCCAAGCACTGCTCCCTGAATTAGCAGCCCCCTGCTATGTCACATATGGGTTAAATACAGAGGACACACACACACACACACACATATATATATATATATATATATATATATAATGTTCTCTAGAAGGGGATCCATCTCCAAATTAACCCATTGTAAAGAGATTTAAAAGACAGAAGAAAAGATAATTGCTGTCATCTCTCACCTTTCCATCCACCCTTTCAATCACTCCCAGCTGATGGAAAGCTCAGGACACTAAAAACCAAACACTATCTGGCCTGTTTCTTCCTGCCTGGATCTGGTGTAAACAAGACAGACTGACTCAGTGTTGAATAATTATTGTTTCACACCTTGCATTCTACCTGCCTTCCGTCTCACACTCAAACACCTCTCTGTACATTGCTTACCTAACACATCCCTAATGATGTTATATTTGTTTTTAAATATGTCTCAGCAAGAGGATGTTACACCTCAAGTTACACTGATGATTCGGCAAGCTTGCAATCAGTCCCTCAATCATCAGTCACTGATGGTCCTTCTCACTCCATCAGAATCCAAAAGGACTCACAACAGGCAAAGGAGACAATTTGGATGCTGGCATCAGACGTGGATAGTTCAGGTCATGATTTTTATTTTTTTAGTTTGCATATTGTACTGGTGCAAAATATATGGGCCTATTGACTTGGGGACCCCTGGAAGAATGAGTTACAGTCAGAGGCCATGGAAAAGGAGAATCACAGAAGTAAAAATCCAGACCAAGATTTTGTTTCATCCAATCAGTTGAGTGACTGTGACACTTTATACTCAGTTGGCTGGTTGAAACAAAGTCTTAGTCTGGATTTATAGTTTTTGGACCTGAACTATCCACCTCTCATTTAATCAAAAGCAAGTATCACATAGTTACGGGCTAAATGCGGTCAGGTCCCCGAAACTGTTTCAAAAAGTGTTGTTTGGTGTCCATATTGAAACCATTTTGTGGTATTTAGTCATGAAAGACGATGTGGCCCTAACATACACCCTCGGACAGAAATTGTGCCTGTGTTGTTTTCGGACTGATCTCGTGGTCTTCTCAGCTTTTCCTGGTGAGGATTATGGTGAGAACATTCCAAACAGGTCAGATCAGGTCTCCTTTTCCACGGCCGCTGACTGTAACTCATTCTTCTAGGCGTCCCCAAGTCCCCCTGTAAAAGATATATCCATTGTGTGTTAACTTTAAATAAAACTGCTTCAGTTGTACATGTCTGCAGTTAGTATGTCTTGATGCATGTCTGTCCCAGCAGTAAGCTATTAAGGTTCTTTCATTCATGCTTGACTGTTGCGATGCAAGCTGCACATCCTGCAGCCATGTGCGGCACGCCACTCTCACCCCCTAAGTATTACAGACTGCCCTAGCAGTGGACTGAAGAGCAGGGGGATGGCTAACTCAGGGCAGGTCTATACCAGTCACCCTCTGGGAATGCTAGCTGAGTTATAACTTGAATGATTTATTCGTTTGTGCTCTCCTCCATCAGCTTCCAGCTTTTCCCCACAATCCCTCTTACCGTACGACACCAAATGAGTGAATGAGTGAATTTGTTAACTATTAACTGTTCTGTCAATCTATGCTGCCACTTGTAAATTCATGAAAAACGAATCAAGGCAAGATACAACAAATAAACAGTCAATAGGCAGACATAATCCATTAGTCACATGAACACATATTATTTCAAAGACAAGTACCCCCTCATTAAGGAAGGACACCTTTCTAAAGAGCATGGTAAAAAAAATCCTAATAAATGATGTCCCACAGCTATATTCATTAATTCTTAGACATTAAGGTAGGAGGTCATCATTCTGTAGAACATGGCATAAAATCCTTATAAATGGTGCCCAGTGGCCATATTCAAGAGCTCTTAAAGATATCAACAGGAGTACAATCACGGACATGCATCTGACTATGTGATATTTTAAAGGGCCAGTACTGAACTTAAAGTGAGCTTTGTTCAAGGTTGAACAGCTGGAGAAATTAAGACTTTAAATGTCTAGCCCCATCCTGGGCTATTCCCTGAGTTGCGCCCTCGGCTTCCGGGATAAGCCCCGCCCCCTCGCAGGACAAGGGAGAACAGAAAACGAATAAGTGAATGGAGGAAACACTATAATCACATGATGGCTGTCTTGCATGCACAGAAGCTGTAACCTGTGGGGATTCTGAAGTACAGTAACTCAGCCCATTCAACTTCCTGTTCTGCAGATAGATTTTATACAGATAGATATATTTTTCACACCACACAGTATATAAATAAAAAAAAACAGGAATACCTATTTGCTATGTAAATCCATGACTATTTTGAAACTGAGGAGTGTGTACTTTGCTTAGAGGATCACAGTGTTACATACCTTACTTGATGGATGGTATTATGATAGACTGCGAAGCAGTTCTTTAATCCACCTGCTGCTTTGCGTACGTAAAGCCAAGTTGCTCTATCTGAAACCAGCTTTATTTGTAGTGTTATTTATAGTGTTATATACCTAAGTATGCAGTGGGTTGAAGAAAATAATGTGGAAAGCAAGCAACATATTAATTTCAAGTGCATGATAAGTAGTAGGGGCTCTCTATTCCTTCAGAACAGCTTAAATCCTTTTTGGAATGCTGTCTCACACATTGTAAACTGTGTATAGAAGGCGATTGGGTGATTAATTAAGAGGAAAAGACTCCACTTCTCTGGGGGATGAAGGAGACACACACAGGACCTTGGTGTATTTGCACATGTGATGATGTTCACTGGCATGGAGATAATAGGAAAGGATCTGCCAAAGAGAATTTATCAGACTGAGGACAGGGAGAATTCAATTGACTTTTAAAGGCAGATTGAAAACTGTCACTCAGTAAACAGGTAATACATCTGATGTGAATTATGCCAATAACGTGGAAGATTTTTAAATACATTTATTTTAAGACTATAGTTGACCTTGCAGTAAACATTACAATCCTAGCACACATGTGCAGATTTAATAAAATTTAAAATAAAGATTCATGCTGTTAAAAAAAGTGCTCCTTCATATTAATAAAACCTTTGAGTTAATAGGATCAGTGCGGTGAGCTACAAACAAAATATCACAAACGAGGTGAATCAACAGCTAGAAAAATATTGCACTTTTGGTACTACAGTGGGCCAAACATTCAAATGAGCACCCAGTTTAAACACACAACCTCAACAAAACACCAAAACACATTTTCTTAAATATTTCAGTAAGCCTCTAAGTTTGGCTTCCCTGTTTAGAACCTGAGAGGAAAAGTTCTATATATTTACTACATACTGTACATACAGCTAATCGTAATAAAATAATAATAATTGATACCGTGGGGAAATTGTCATCACACCTCCCTCAGCTTGCTCTTTGTAGAGTAAGCCGTCTGCGAAGGGCAGCCACCTGTTGGGGCGCCCAGGGAGCTGGGGGTTAAGGGCCTTGCTCAAGGACCCACAGATGTGCTGAGGCTGGGTTTGAACCAGCAACCTTGTGATTACAGACACTCAGGCTTAGCCCACTGAGCAACACACAGCCCCAAGAGGAAAAGACTCCACTTCTCTGGGGGATGAAGGAGACACACGCAGGCCCTTGGTGTATTTGCACATGTGATGATCTCCAATGAGATCACAGGAAAGGATCATCTCCAATGAGATCACAGGAAAGGATCATCTCCAATGAGATCACAGGAAAGGATCATCTCCAGTGAGATCACAGGAAAGGATCATCTCCAGTGAGATCACAGGAAAGGATCCGCCAAGGAGACATCAGACAGAAGTTGCAGGATGATAAGGTCACAGGGTATTACTTTACTCTAAAATATTTGGTCCCTTAATTTCAATGTTTTTTTTTTATTAATAACCTGGGTTCCTTGCAGAAATATACAAAAAATAGACATCTTCTAAACATTTGATATTCAAACCTAATAAGCAAAACAGTGTCTCAATTATCTTTGGACAGTGCCGAGTTTTCTCTTTTCCTTCAGTAAATGAAATAAATAGAATCCTGTTGTTCTCAAAGTGGGTTCTTCAGCAGAACTCCTACATTCCACTCAAAGAATTTTGTCCTGGGCTGACAGTCTTTCCTGTGGTTGGGTTCCCTACTTCGTTGTATCTGTTGCTGAAATATGTAAATATATTGACCATGAAGAACACGATCCCAAACAGGACCAGAAAAATCCAGATCTTTCGGTTCCTCTTAGAAATCTTCGGAAACAACCAATCAAGGATTTCCAAAGCCTCTTCATATTTGCTGCTAAATCAAAATCAAGGGAATAATAATTGAAATTATGCTGGCTAAATACAATGAAAAACTTTCATTGATACATCAGTGGAAAAGCTTAGTGGTTTAAGCTTGACCTTGCTTTACATCAGGTTTGACATTATGATGTAGCAAGCAAGAAGATCACCTTTTAAATTTTTTCTCCTGAGATACTTCCTGTTCCTTCTCCTCTTTCTGTTCCTGGATCTCATCTTTGACCACCTTCTCTTCAAGCTCCCTCATCTCCTGAAGCTCCTTACTTCGCTTCAGTCCTTCTTGATATCTGAGTCGTTGTAGTCATAAAATACATACTGTTTGCATTTACAAGAGTAAATAATAATTATATGAAAATGTAAAACATTCCAAGCCTAGTACTGTTTACCCTTTGTTGTAAGCATCTTCCTCAATCTTGGCTTTGATCTCTGAACTGATTTCATCAGTGCTGCTAGGAACAGCTGGCTTCACCAGAGCAGTTAGGTCACTTTCCTGTTCTGTCTTTCCACTTTGGAAAAATGGGGAAGAATGGGTTTTTTGGCCACTGCACAGTCATGACAAAAGCATTCCTCAAAGTATATTTGAAATTAGTGTTCCATTCCAGAGAAATATTAAGTGCTGCTTACCTATCATAACAAATAAACTTTCCAGCACTTTCTGTTTGGGTGTTTTAAGATGTGCACATTCAAAGAGATGTATTTTACTCAGCAAAATTTTACATAAATATGTAAGATGAACAACAGCCTGAATGTCTGTGTCTTTTCTTGTCAGTGAAGTCTTACGATTTAGACGTGTTGATCAAGTAAGTTCTGAAACTACATTGTCGCTCTTGCGTTACTGAAATATCGTGAAACTACACGCCATGTCTGGACTCTGTCAGACCCTGGATGTTGGATATTTATTGTATTTACATTATCTCCAAGTAGCACAAATCATCTGCAGCTGGGGTTTTATGGAGCGGCAGTAAAGTTATTTTTAAGCGCACTGATAATCTCACAGTTACATAAGTGAAGCCTGATGCAGCTTCATCCATCCTGTTCCCGCTGTGCAGCCAATTAGCCTAAATGAACCCGAGGCTCACTTCCTGGAGGTCACATGACCCGGCCTCATGCAAACGATTTCTCCTGATAAGGGCTATTGTTTTAAATAACAGGGCCCTTTTGCAGCACCATAAAAGGAGCAAGAAGTAATGCACTGCATTCACCTCTCAGTCTCAGCATGCTGTGTGGAATCAGTAGGGCTGCTGCCTTTCCCACTGCTTGCCTCGCACTGCAAAAAACAATAAAACATAGTGTTGGGGTTAGAAAGGATCTTTGAGTCAAGAGACGAGGCTTCAGCACCCCATATTCAATTTATGACTATAGCGCTACAGTGGAGAAACTCATGGAGTGGAAATGTACCAGTGCAGGAAGCCCAGAGGTGGGAGGGTTCTGACCCGGAATGTTCAGTAGGTTGAATTTGGGAACCACAGCAACACTGACTCTCCTTCTTGGCAGGGACTGGAGCAGGGAATTTAAGGAGAAACATCTAGTCAGAAACCTGCAATGTTTGCTCTTCCGCTACCTCACTGCCATCCACTGTTATCCGGTACCTTCTGCATAATCTACAGCTGAGTGACATGGCATACCTTTCCAAGGGTCAGAGACAGGGATCTAGACGTCCGTGGAACTCCATCATCTTTATGAAACAAACAACACAACGTGAGGAACCACAGCCTCTACACACTGCGCTAGATTCCTCCCTCAAAGAGAACGCTAACACAGTACAATCGCTGCTACCTCCAGTGTCCACCGAGCCACTGTAGCAGCGGTTGGAGTTCTGGTTGGCCAGCTTCTTAAACTCCATCAGTTCAGCGTGATCCTTCTCATAGGTCCTCTTCAAGTTCTCCACATACTGCATCATCACCTCTGTGGCCTTGTTCATGCGCTTCTCCTGTCACGCCAGGTTCAAGCACACCATTACCGCCACGTAAAGCAGGAAATATAGCCATCGTACACCTGCGCTTTCTGGCTATTTGCATAGGCAATAACTTCTCATTCCGGATATGAATAAGTGCCTTTCTGTGTTATTCATTTTAGTTTTATTTATACATAAATAATAATACAGGTATAATGTTATGCTTAATAATGAAACCAAAATCTACTTTTGCACATGCCTTTTCATGCAATTCCATTGCCCATTTGTACATTTTTCTGTCTCATGTCCATGACTCAGTAATTCATGTTTAAATGTGTTATATATCTATATTCTATTTATTGGCCAATGAGAAATTATATCTTCTGTAAGACCCATGCATGATATATTCTAACTGAAGATGACTATAAATATACATTGACTTCAGAATTCCAACAAAATCCATTCAACATTTTGTATTAAATTTATACGTTTAATCTGTTTTTATATTTATACCATTTTGCCACCTTGTATCCAGAGTTATTATTCTTCATGAAAACTAAAGCTATAATAAAACATTTTTGTAAACTGAAATAACATATGAATTTAAATGGGGGGGAAAATGTAATTAAAATTATAAATATTGCTTCCGAAATACCTGAAATAAAATAAGAACAGACATAAAATAATTTCCATTACCATACAATTTAGCTAAAGTACTAACTTATCCTTAATTACCATTAATAATGCCTGGAACATTTTTTTGTGGAGATTAGCCCATAATGTGGACTGTGCATTCATGTAAGATCATCTAAAGAAAGGGCGGACAACTGTCCCCTAGAAATAAAATTTAGCTAAAATAAATAAAAACTAAACAGAACTATATCTTTAAAATAAAATAATATCACAACATTGAAAACTAACTAAACCTAACTGGATTTCAAATGAAAATTGAAAATAATCTAAAAATAAAAACTAAATTAAAAAAAACCAAAGCTACAATAACGCAGTTTGTAGCATTATTAGCTTGACGGTTAGTGGTGTCCTCTTACCTGCCGAACAGCCCCCACCATCTCTGCCCGACTGGAGAGCCGTGTGGCCAGGCTTTGTAATACCATCAGTGTCTCTAGGAGGCGCTGGAAGGCCTCCCGTTGCTCAGAGTTCTGCCACAGCGTTACGGAACCCTGCACCAAAAAAACCAGTATGATGCTGCAGGGACCCGTTTGGGAGGAGAGATTAGATTTTTCTCATTTTTTTTTTCTTTACTCAGCGCCAGGAAGCAGCTGGTCTGTAACTGCCGACCTTCAAGCAGCATTTAAATTCTTCCAGTTCTTTGTCTGTATTGTCCTCCGTCAGGTTCCGCTCTTTTTCCGCATGCTTCAGCCGCATCTCGAGGGTGTAGCTGTCGTTGCGGAACGCCAAGGACAGCTGCACAAATGCATTCTGTTGCGGGGAGAGAGCCACCGAATTAGGCTGTTTTTAAGAACATGCATAAAGCAAACCACTAACTAGACAAGACATCAGCTATACCCACATCAATATTCAGCTACAACTACAGACCCACAATGAACATCCGATATAATAAAATGGGAGGTAAAACAACATTCACTGATATATCCTTTCTGATACATAGCAGAAATGTCCCGGTGGAATTCAGAAATGCGGCATGCAGTGTTTAGGGCCTGAGGGGGAGCAGTACACCCCAGTCTCAGAACGGCAGGCTTTATCACGACCCCCCCATTCACTGTTTGCATTTCACAGGAAACCAGCTGCCAGAATATTGTCGGTTCCTAAGACCAGCTTAACTGGAATGAGGAGAGACTTCAATGCAAATTGCAAGGGACCTCTGACACATTCAGTTTTGGTTAACAGAGACTCCATTTACATACGCATCACATTTATTAACTGATTCACAGTTTCATGTGCCTATACACATGTGCCATTATGTTAATGATTTAAACTGTATTTAAGGAGAATATCGAACTAGCTTGTGACCTTGTACCCATGCGTTACACCCTGAGTTTCCTGGGATAGCCTCCAGGGTCCCTTACCACCCTGTGCTGTATAAGTTGTTAGAAGATGTATGGATGGATGGATGGATGGATGGATGGAATACTAAACTTCTGCTGTCTTTCTAAACTTCTATCTTTTAAATATGAGAAAACCTTCATTAGATACCAACCTCAACTTCTTTTTCCGTGAGTGACGGTGAGCTGCAAAGAAGATTAACATATATTTTACTAAAACATCAACTTACGGTACAGGCACAGCAGTATCTGAATATTTCACATTCTGGCAAGTTCTGGTAATGATGATAATCCCATTTCCAAAGTCCCAAGCACCCTAAGGCAGAGTGTCACTCTGGGATCCTACTCACCCTGAGGCAGAGTGTCACTCTGGGGCCCTACTCACCCTGAGGCAGAGTGTCACTCTGGGGCCCTACTCACCCTGAGGCAGAGTGTCACTCTGGGGCCCCATGCTCCCTGAGGCAGAGTGTCACTCTGGGATCCTACGTACCCTGAGGCAGAGTGTCACTCTGGGATCCTAATCACCCTGAGGCAGAGTGTCACTCTGGGATTCTACTCACCCACTTGGCAGAGTCCTGTGCAGTTTCAGCTTTCTCAACATCATGTCCGAAATGTTTGGCATCACATCAGACTTCTCTTTGGGTTCCTCCTCTGTTGAGGATGCTGAAAGGGAAAAAAGAGACACTGCCTAACTACAGAGTAAAAACAATATTATTCTGCTTCTCAGAAGATAAAAAAGCATAACGTATCGTAACAGATGTACATTGGCTCACCTCTGTCCTGTTCAGCAGTTTCATTTAAATCTGGTAGCTTACATCCCCCGATGGTCTGGGTTCGCATCAACATCTGCTCCTAAACAAGGATGCACCAATGAGAAGTCAAATGGAGAAAGCACGTTTTTCCATCCATCCATCCATTTTATATACCTACTTGTCCTATTCTGAATCTCGGGGGTATTAGCATTACTGAGAGGCCTAAAATGATAGATGATTGAGTGAAACAAGCCTTCCTCCAGCTGAGAGGTGCGGACTGACTCACCTCCCGCATTTTGGAGAACTTCTGGACCTTGCCGGGCTGCATGGGGAAGTCTTTGTATCTAGACGACTTGAGCAGGGAGTCTGCAGGCTGCTCGGAGACAAAGTGAGCCTCTTCGCCTTTAGGCGCTAAGCCAGGAAAGTCAGTCCTGGCGGAAATGGAGCCCACGGCATCCCAGGACATGGCCCTCATGAGGGGGGGGAAGATCCCCATGGTCTTGATCTCGGCCGTGCAGGGGGTCTGCAACGTCGCCGGCCGGAGGAGGGGCTTGGCTGCTGACAGGGAAGCCTTCCTTCCCGCCTCCGCCCCCAGGTCACAGTCCTCTTTAGGCAGCGCTGTGGTGTACCGGGGGCAGAGTGTACCCGAGGAAACCTTCCGCTTCTCAATGGGCTTCCAGTCCAAAAACTTCCTGGAATTCTGCAACAAAAATTAAAGATTAATTTGCCATTTTACTTAGTAAGGGCAGCATAAGGCTTAATTTAAAGATACGATAGGCCCAGCTTAAGAATAATGACACTGAAAAGCATGAAATCTATAGATTTGTGTTTATTGCACCAAGTATTTGTACCAAGATTTTTTTAAATGATAGCAGAACAGGAAGTAAAACCTCAAATAAGGGTTGTGGTGTGAGAGAATACGGACCTCTATATCTTGTCTGATGGAATCTCCATGTTCTCGGACACCTGGGACCTCCATGTTCTGCCAGACGTTCGGAAATTGTTAAGCACGACACATGGCTAGTTTTAATAGAGCCAATTTTTTATCAACGCAGTGTGACAAAAGACCGTACCTGAGTAGCCTGGCAGATGGTATAAGACATCTCACTTGTCTCTGTACCAATGAAAGTTACGATACTTTTCTCAGTTTTGATGTGTGTAATACTTTAAGACGGCAAATCACTTTGAAATACGGACCCTAGGTCATACATTGGGTTTGGAGACATACCAATCTGAGGGGGAGCAGAGAGAGAACTGCTTCTGGAAGGGACCGGAGAGGAGCGCGGTGTTGGACAGGGAGACAGTCCTACAACAGGAAAAAAGAATCACTAGATCGGCTATGTTCATTTTACTAAGCTATCGTGTGATCTTACTTGGGAAGTCCACCAAATCAGAGCATCATTCACTGAACATTAACATCTAAAGGGAGTTTAGACTAATATTAGCACAACCCATTTCAGTTCATGTTAGCTTAATGCTGTTAGCGATGTTATACAGACTGTAGGCGTGATGCTTTTCTCTTAAATATTTGTTAAGGGCCTTGGCACTTCAGTGTTGAGTAAGGTGTACTATAAACATAAAAGGAATGGAAGGTTCTGTCAGATTGATGGGAATTAAGATAGGGAAGCCAGGCAGCCCTTTGGAGTAAACAAAAACATTCTGGAATGTAAATGGCGACTTTGTGATGTACACTGTAGTTGCATTTGCACTATGAGGCCCTTCGAAGAGGAATTCTTCGTAAAAGCTATTGTGTCGTTTACATTATTTAACTGAAATTGAATTAAATTCAGCTGAACTGAATTGAGGAGTTTTGAATAGAATTTTATTTTATCTTCTAAATAATAAACCATGACAATGTGCGGTAAGAAATATATAATTCACATGTAATGCTGTTACAATTGCTATGTCAATGACACACAAACCTAGCTATCTCTCAAGGTGAAATGTCAATCAATGATTCAGAAAACTGCCTTAAATACAATTAGTGTTGCTGGTACACAACACAGCAGTATTAATCTTAGCTGAATATTCATAAACATATTAAAACTGTACGTTTCTCAACACTGGCTTCCTGGCAAATTGAGTGCTAAATGCAAAATATGACCACATGCCTGCAAAACCTTATAAATGCTGATTCACACAGATGGATCGTAGGTTTACTATGCACTTCTTTGGGTTACATCATTCACACGATGCTGGTCATCTGAGCAGCATAAGCTTCAGTGGTACAGTAACTCACATACGACTCATCTACCTTTTCATGTTTGGGGTTAAAACACTTTAAGTACTGAGAAATTAAGCTAAAAAAGTGACAGGTCCACGTCTTGGTGTGTCCAGACAATGAGTTCTGATCCTTAGATGCTGATATCAGTGATCAAGACTTTTTCATTTCATTTACAATATAAACTTTCTATTTATATTTTATACACACATTAGGTGACATTGATCACCCTGTTTGAAAGGGTCAGTCAGCCATTTTCAATTTTTGATTCTGCTGTTGGCATTCTTTCCATTTTAGATTCATTATGGAAAATTCACAGTGAATTACTTGAATGCACTTTGTGCATTACATAAAAATGTCACATACTACATATAATTTGATTAAAATCATATAAACTATCTGCGACCTTGTACCAGATAAATGGTTGGAAGACCAATGGAGGGGTGATAAAATGACAGAGTGCCTGACTCATCCGTGGTGTTATTATTATGTTGTTTTTTTTATACCCCTTCAGAAAAATTACTCATTGACTTGTAAATATGCTCCCTGAAACGTTATCATGGCAACCAGCTTATGCTTGCGTGCTCTGTCTGCCAGACGCCGTCGCTAGCTGGCTGTTAGCCGTTTCCAGCTCTGCTGCTATTTCAATCGATTTTGATGTCCAGCAAAAACATGCCTGTTATTTTTCTGACACCGACTCTGCAGTCAGAGAGAGAAGCTCCATTTACAGCTGGAGAACATGGGCCCCTGCAGTGAACGGTAATACTACTGACAGGCTAATGGAACAGAATGGCAGAACAGCTGCATTGTGACTCTATGCAGAACAGGAAGTCATAGCTGCAGTCCCAGATGTGCTAATAAAAAATCTGACAGTCACACAGACTTTAACACATCACACAGCAACACAATCCCCCGATTTCCCCTTTATATGAAAAGAGAGATTTGAAGGTTCATGCTTTACTTGAGGGGACAACAAATATATATTATTATGCTATTACTTATGTATCAATTAACCGCAAACTAAGTCTTAGTTACATACTGATCTCATGTTTGTTCATCATTAATGAATTGTCACACATCTTATTATCTAAAGCAAGTACTATGTTTGTTACTATATCGGTTAATTATGTAAACCTTTGTGAACTACTGAAGGAACAACAGAAGGAAGTACAGCAGGAACAAATAATGAATAACACATGTAACATAACTGATCTCATGCAAATTCATTATTAATGAATCGTGACACATCTTTAATCTTCACTATATTTGTTCATGATTTGTACTTTAGTGGTAGCTGAGTTAGTTATGTTCCCTCAAGTAAAGTGTTACCACTGGAGGTGTAGCGTGTGTGATATGGCTGGAAAGATGCAGACGAGGGAGGTCTTGCTACCTGTGGGTGGGTCTGAGAGGCTGCAGGTCGACCGTCTCCCTCTTCGCATGAGGAAGCGGTCACTGACCTTCTTGGCCTCCTCCAGAAGCTCGAAGTTCTTTCGTATCTCCTCCTCCGAGAGCTGCACGTTAGGCAGCTGGTCCTTCACCAGATCTATCAAGTGGCCCCTGCTGTCTGGGGACCACGAAGACACACACAGAGTCACACACACACAGAGTCACACACACACACACACAGAGTCACACACACACAGAGTCACACACACACACAGAGTCACACACACACAGAGTCACACACACACACACACACACAGAGTCAC